AATATCTATTTATGTCGATACCTCCACATCTTGCAGAAAAATGTAAAGGAGTAATATTGTGTAAATCCTGTATATTAACAGTTGCTCCGGCTTCAATTAAAAGACGTGTAGCATCTAAATTTCTGTTGATTGCCGCATAATGCAATGGGGTTTTTTGATGAATATCCTTCATATCAACATCCACTCCCTCACCTATTAAACTGATAACTAGGTCTATTTGACCTGATGATACAGCACTGTGTATCTATATTTTTGTTACTTGGATTCCTGGAACTGTCTTCTAATGAAGTATCTCTAAATTGCCTCTTTTTTACATTTTTACAATATTTCGACAAATATATTTTGGAAATAAAGCATATCTTTTCGATATGTTTATGAAAATTCATGGTATATTCAACCAAATTAACCAGTTATTAGATAAATAGATTTTTTATCAAACACATAGAAATATAAACCAAATTCTAATATAATGAAATGAATCGGGTTGTAAAAAAAGTGTAGCCAAATTAAAAGCACAAAATAAAATAATTAATTTAATTAAATCTTATATATGAACTTTTACACTAGATATATAAATATTTAAAGTCTCTGGTGTTCAGTGGAAAACACGCCTCGATATAAATGTGATTGTAGAATTTCGCAGTTATCAAACACCTTTAGAAAAGCAACAGTAGAGGCTATCGATCCACAATATTAGTTATAACCTTAACAACAACAACAATCTACTTTCTTCGCATGCATCTTTGGCTATATATATGGAGCGCAATGCTTTACTCAAACACCATTCTACAAAGGTTTTAGATATAAAGGTATATATTTTTGGATAGAAGAGAGGAATTCAAAAATAGATCTTTAATTAAAAAGGCATATTTGTAATAAAAATATTTTTAACTAATAATTCAGTAGACAGAACGCCAACCTTTTTCGAGTGATAACTCATTGAGATCAGCTCCACCTTTTATTAAATGGTTCATACTTTTGACCATGCCTTTGTTCATAGCTTTGACTAATAGGTTATCTCGGGAATTGTCTAAGATATTTGTATCGGCTCCAGCTTTTAGTAAAACTAGAAGGTTTTCATCTAAATCAGCCTCATCATATTCACTAATAAGATTCAAGGCAGTATATCCATCATTATCCTTTGCATTTATCTCAACTCCCTCCTTCAACAAATATATCAGTAATTCAACTCCTCGACGATTTAAACTAGCTTCCATCAATATAGTTTTTCCCGTCTTAGTTTTGGCATTGATATCAGATCCCTTTTCAATCAAATATCTATTCAATTCAATACCTCCACTTCTTGCTGAAAAATGCAAAGGAATATTTATATCAAATCCTTTATATTAACATTTGCTCCAGCTTCAATTAAAAGACGTGTAGCATCTAAATTTCTGTTGATTGCTGCATAATGCAATGGGGGTTTTTGATGACTATCCTTCATATCAACATCCACTCCCTCACCTATTAAACTGATAACTAGGTCTATTTGACCTGATGATACAGCACTGTGTAAACGTGTATCTATATTTTTGTTACTTGGATTCCTGGAACTGTCTTCTAATGGAGTATCTCTAAATTGCCTCTTTTTTACATTTTTACAATATTTCGACAAATATATTTTGGAAATAAAGCATATCTTTTCGATATGATTATGTATATTCAAGGTATATTCAAGCAAATCAACCAGTTATTAGATAAATAGATTTTTAATGAAACAAATAGAAAGATAACCTAAATTCTAATATAATGAAATGAATTGGGTTGTAAATAGGTGTAGCCAAATTGAAAACACAAAATAAAATAATTAATTTATTTAAATCATATATATGAAATTTTTATACTAGATATATAAACATCAGTATAAAAAATCAATATATTAAATATATAAGGATATTTGTTGTTCACCACTCCAGGAAACTGAATTATCCCAATTTCTCTCTCTTACCCAGATATTTAGAAACTTCTGTACGCTCATGGAGTTATGCACATTTTTTGTCGTCTCTTCAAATATATACTATGGTTTTAGGACTGCATGCTGCCACATCTTCCAGAATGGTCTTTTATTTGGTTCCTAAACAGCTTCTAGCCCATGAAGAGGATGCGCTCCCATCGCTGACCAGTGGCTCGATACTTGAGTTGTCGACATCTGTCCAGCCCTACGTGCTTTTCACGCGTTAAATCTGAACATTTTGGAGCTTTTACGCCTTGAGGTTGAATTCCTTTTTTAAAGGCTTTTATTTTACTTGCTTCCATGTCTGTCTGTCCACAAATATTCTAATAAATTTCAATTTACTTCTAAGCCACGTAGTTGTCTAAAATTTATATACTTTTTAGAACTGATACCAATTCCAATTTACAAATTTTTAGACATCTGGGTTGTGTCAGGGTAGCAGGGTATGGAAAAATTTCTGAATTGGCTTGAATATTGTAATTTAAGTATAATATTTTTCTACAATGCGTCGAAGTATGAAATTTTGAACACTCACTCAGTTCAATCAACAAGGCAAGTGTACAAATCTTCAGACTTCTGGGTGGTTGGGATATTCTATTGCTGTGGCATCTGTAAACAGCTTCTGTCTCTGTTTATCTTGTATGCAAGTCTGTCAAAGCCACTATCCATTTTTCTACAATTTTAGTGGTTGAAAGAGGACCCACGAAATCTATACCAACTCTTTCGAATGGGTAATTTGCCGGAGGTATAGGCTGAAGAAATCCGGAAGGCAAAGGTGACATGTTTTTACTTAGTTCGAGACATCTTTTAACATAGAGGGCCAATAATACTTATTTTATATTCTGTATGCAGTTCTTGAAACTCCTAAGTGTCCACAGAGCATATTTTAATGGTATTTTTAAAAGTTTTCCCTTTTCCTCTTCGTGGCACAACAAGTAGCAAAGGAATACTCTTTGGGTTCTTTTCGTAAAGGAATCTATTTTCTTCTTTGAAATTCTGGGTGATGAAGCGCTTGTCATCATTTCCCTTAAGACTCCTTTTTACGTTGTCAATAAAATCTTCCTTCTCATTCATTATTTGCCTGAAAAATATTTTTTTCACAATCATCTTCAGGAACAATTTCAAGCAAAGGTCCTCTTGAGAGACAGTCGGCGTCTAAATATTTCTTACCAGACTTGGGTATCACCTCAAAGTCATACTATTGCATCTCCAGAGCCCATCTAGCTAGTCTACCAGTAGTATATCTCAAGGTTTTAAGCCAGCATAGAGCATGTTGGTCTGTTATCACTCTAAATTGCTTACCGTAAAGATAAACCCGTAATTTGGATATGGCCCAAACCATTGCTAAACATTCTTTTTCTGCGGTTGAATAATTAATTACTGATGTGGTTAGTGTTCTACTGATAAACGACACTACCTTTTTTTGTCCATCAATATTTTGCACTAGGACTGCACCTAGTCCAAAATTTGACGCATCTGTGTTATTAAAGGTAGGGGCTTGGGGGTCGAAATGTGCTAGGACAGGGGGATTCAATAGGGTCATCTTTAAAGTATTTAATGAATTCTCTTGTGCTTTGGTCCACTAAAATGGGATGTTTTTATTTGTGAGTTTAGTAGGGGGTCAACTAGGATATAAAATCATTTTAAAAAATTTCTGTAGTAAGAACAATTTCCTAAAAATGATTCCACCTCTTTTTTTTCTGAGTTTCGGGAAATTTATAACCGCCACGATATTTCGGTCTGAAAGCTTCATTCCATGTTAGCTTGTTATGTGGCCCCTTATCTATAGTTTATCAAAGGCAAGTAAACATTTTTTAGCATTTAATTTTAAGTTTGATTCACGGAAACATTTGAAAACTGTCTCCAGTCTTTCGAGATGAGTTTTAAAATCAAGACTATATATAATGACGTCATCTAAATACATACGCATATTTTCCATTCCAGACTTTTGAAAACGTTATTAATAAGTCAATAAAACGTGGCTGGAGCATTAAATAAGCCAAAAGGCTTAAAATTATATTAATATAAACCGTGGCATGTTGTGAAAGCTGTTTTCAATTTGTTTCAATCCATTCGCGAGGATCTTCGTTCCGTCGTACTTTTGGACGGTGATATTTCCATTAACGAATACTGGATCAGGTCCAGTGTCTCCACCAGATGTTGCATTGTCCTGGGGGGTTGGCTTCATATCAAGTTAGATTGGTCCATATCAATAATATAAGTGAGACCAGAAAGAGTAATCATAAAAAATGTTTATCAATAAGGAAAGTATTTACAATTAGTTTCAATCATAAAGAAAACTGAGAGATATCTAAACAAAATATTTAAAAATAAAATGCTGATGTCACGTGACTGATGATGATAAACCGAGTAGGCCACAACAGATTATTATGAGACAATATTTATATTCATTATATATATTTTATAATAATATAATTTCTGGGCTAATTCCGATTTTTTTTTCAAATTTTGTAACATGATTTTAATAAGCTTCCAGACCACATGGAAATCTTAAATTTTCAACACTAGCTCAGTCAAACTAACAATGCATGTATACATATTTTCAAATATCAGGGTGATCGGGATGAGGCTGTGTGTGTGGGAATGAAAAAATCCTATATTTCCTTTTTAATCTAAGGTTTTAAACGATAATAACTCAAAACCTGTTTGAAGTAGCGACTTGAATTTTTAAGTGATTGTTCAAAACCTCAAAGAAGGAATAAATTCAGATATTCAGATTCCTATCTGAAACCTATTTGTATTTAAAAGAAAAAAAATCTGTCAAAAATCAAGCAATATATCTATTTATCTTTTTTAATTGAGTAATTTTTTTAAATATCCTCATGCACACATTTATATTAAATATGCCTATATAAAAAAGGTCAGGTGTTGATATTAAAAATAAAAATGGTATATCCTGACTCATGTGAGCCTGGTCAGGAAATGCATTTTTAATTTTAAATATACCTATATATCTAGTTATATATTTGCCTTATTCTGTCTGTTTGTTTGTCTGTTTGTAGCTCACGGATGGGAATTTTCATAACCATCGGTGGTTCAGTGGTAGAATGCTCGCCTGCCACGCGGGCGGGCCGGGTTTGATTCCCGGCCGATGCATTTTTTTTTTTTTACAATTTTTAAAACTCATTTATATATTATACAAGAATGACATCCACGGCGCCAATTTATAATTGTAACGAATAGTATTTTAATTAAAACATTTTAAAAACACAGTTTGGAACGGGACGTTTCACAAGAGTGACATCCATGGCGCCAATTTATAATTGTAACGAATAGTATTTGAATTAAAACGTTTTTAAAATATATACGCACTCGGGTAAAACCCGGGCGTTACCCGGGCCATTCGTCTAGTATATATATATATGATATCTTGAGACCTCTGGGACCAGTGTTACCTGATGCTAGACGAACCTCGATGTCAACTCTACCGTGCAGTCGTGGTGGAAGGCGACACAGCTGGGCCAAAGGTGAAAAAACAAACAGAGATTCCACTAAGAAGCGTCTGAACGTAAAGAAGGAATGGAACGAGGAGATTTCTGGCAGAAAAGGGTTTACCTCTATCGGAGCGTCCGGCGGACTGGTGCTGAAACAAAGGCTGACTAAGGACTGGCTAACTGAGGTTCGGGGACTCCTTTTATAGCTCAGCTGGGTCCGAACAGGTCACTGCTCTTTTCTGACGTAAACAGGGGGGGGGGGGAGTTATATTATCCAGGAGGGCCACCACCTCGTAAAACTTGGACTGGGCTTGCTAGTCCTACTCTCCTTTTCTCACCTAAGCCTAATTAGTTTTAATTTTCTCCTGTTAGTCTCCATTCCTTCTATCGGTACAGTTGCTATACTTTATTAGATTCTTACGCTGTGCAGATGATGTTGCTCGATGCTTTCTAATTGCAGTAAATAACAAGTTATTTACAGTCACGTGGCGGAACATGTGGTAGTAGATATCTGGACTATTTACAACAATTCCATGGTCTTAAATAATCACATATATAATATATACACTGCATATATAATATATACACTGTGACATTGAAAATGGAACACCAAGAAATAGTGGCCAGAAAGTGATGAAACTCGGCAGACAGAGAGAGACAGGGACGAACAATAAGTGATCTTTATTTCAAAATGATAGTCATAATACAGAACGAGAACGGCGTCGGCTTAGTAGCAAGTAGGACCACCGCGGACGGCGATGCACGCAGCAACACGTCTAGGTAGAGAGTCAATCAGAGTACGGATGGCGTCCTGAGGGATGGCTCTCCATTCCCTCTCAACCATTTGCCACAGTTCGTCTTCTGAACGCGGCTGTGGCAAGGCATGCAAACGGCGTCCAATGATGTCCCAGACGTGCTCGATTGGTGAGAGATCAGGAGAGTACGGTGGCCAGGGAAGCATCTGTACATCTTGCAGAGCTTGTTGGCTAATGCGAGCAGTGTGCGGTCGGGCGTTATCCTGCTGATAAAGGGCATTGGGTACCCCCTGAAGGTAGGGGAGTGTCACCGGTCGCAGCATATCATCAACGTATCGTTGAGCCGTCATAGTGCCCTGAATACGAAGTAAAGGTGACCTGGAATCATACGCGATTGCGCCCCAAACCATGATTCCACGTTGTCGCACGGTGGGGCGTTCCACAATTGCTGCCGGATTGGACCTTTCTCCACGTCGACGCCACACGCGTACACGGCGACTATCACTGGACAAGCAGAAACGCAACTCATCTGAGAACACGACCCTGTGCCATTCCGTCATCCACGTCGATCTAGCCCGGCACCATTCCAAACGTTGGCGCCTATTCGGTGGGGTCAATGGCAGTCTTCTTAGCGGACGGCATGAGTGCAAGCCATTAGCAACCAATCGACGGGAAATGGTTCTGGTCGAGATGGAATGATCTAGGGTGTCTTGCACATGTTGCAGGATGACGGTACAAGTGGCTTGTGGTGCCGCCACTGCTTGTCGAAGGATACGCCGATCCACACGTGCTGACGTCACTCTGGTTGCACCGACATTCCTATAAATTGCCACATTTCCTTGTTCCAACCATCTTCTCCACAGTCGGTGCACCGTGGACGCACCAAGGTGTGTATCAGCTGCGATTTGACGTATGGACCAACCTGCCCTTTTCAGTCCGATCACCATGCCCCTCGTAAAAGCGTCTGTCTGCTTGAACTGCCTCCGTTTACGATGACCTGGCATTCTCTGTCATTACACGTGTCTTTTGACACAAGAACAAAATTTCTACAATGATTTTCCTTGAAGAAATAACGACACGAATACTGTCCTTTCTGCAAGTTCCTTCCCTTATATCTTACTCCATGAGCGCACGAGAGCTGCGCATTTTACATCATTTGCATAACTCGGTTAGGCGCGTCTACCCTGAAATTTGCATAATTTTCTGGCCACTATTTCTTGGTGTTCCATTTTCAATGTCACGCAGTGTATATAAATATATAAAAATAAATATACCTGCAAAAAGGTCTTAGGTGGACGACCTGCCTATGTTATTTAGATGACATAATGGTTTTCAGATAATTTAGAAGAACATCTACGACGCCTTAAAAATGTGTTAAGTTGTCTGAAGCAAGCTGGTCTGTGCCTTAATGCAAAAAATTGTAAATTTGGGGAAAAAACTATCACTGTTCTTGGACATGAAGTAAGTGGAGATGGAATACGACCTGACCCTGAAAATATCCGAGCAGTCCGTGACTTTCCTACACCCAAGTCATTAAAAGAAGTAAGATGTTTCTTAGGACTTTCTTCCTACTACCGCCGCTTCATACCTAATTATTAACATTTAGCCCAACCTTGGAAGGAACTTTTGAAAAAAGACCCAAAATTTTGATAGAACCTAGAAGAACAACGTGCATTTGATACTGTGAAGTCAGCATTAATTTCCGAACCTGCTTCGGGACATTTTGATTATTCTCATCCCCAACAGAGATACATACTGACGCAAGCAGCTATGGAAGAGGAGCAGTTTTGGTAAAAATTCAGAATGGAAAGGAAAAAGCTATTGCCTATGCATCGAGAACGCTCAATAAAGAAGAAAAAAATATTCAACTACTGAAAGAAAATGACTTGCCATAATTTGGGCTATAAACAAATTCCGTCCTTATGTTTTCGGACGCCCATTTACTATTGTAACAGACCATCATTTTTTGTGTTGGTTGTCCAACATCAAGGACCCGTGTGGAAGATTAGCAAGATGGGTCCTTCGTTTGCAAGAATTTGAGGTTACAGTTATGTAAAAGAGTGGAAGAAAACATCAGGATGCTGACTTTTTATCGAGAAGTCCTTCAAGCTGTAGTGAAGACATTGAGGAAGATATTCCTAGTTTAATGGCCTTACAGAATTTTGGACAGGAAAAAATGAAAGACCCGGATCTCATGAAGATCGCTGACAAGATACAACAAGAGACCTCTAATAAGTCCTTTCTGAAAATTGATAATACTATCTACAAAAATAATTATGATCCAATGGCTAGAGAATATGGCTTCTGGTGATCCCTCGCTACCTCAGGCCTGAAAAACTGAAAAATATCCATGATTCGCCCACTGCTGGACATTTTGGGTTCACCAAAACCTATGATCGAATTAGAAAAAAATTCTATTGGCCTGGAATGTATAGGAATGTTAGAAGTTATGTGGTTCACACTGTCAAGACTGTCAGCGACGCAAACGAAAGCCATAGCTCCCTACAGGACGCTTACAGCCAATTCCGGTGCCCATAGCTGCCTTTGAAAAGATTGGAATGGACGTCTTAGGAAGGTTCCCAACATCCACATGTGGAAACTGCTGGATTATTGTCTGCACAGACTATCTGACAAAGTATGCAATCACCAAAGCGCTAACAACTAGTGAATCAATGGAAGTTGCCAAATTCTTGGTCGAGGATGTAATCCTGAAACACGGTACTCCAAGGGAACTAATCACCGACAGAGGAAGGAATTTCACCTCATTATTGATTCGTGATCTGAACAATCACTGTAGAATAATTCACAGGACGACGACCGCCTATCATCCTCAGACGAATGGACTCACAGAAAGGCTGAACAAGACCATGGCAGACATGCTGTCTATGTATGTTGACGTTAATCAGAAAGACTGGGATATGATCCTTCCGTTTGTAACATTCACATACAACACAGCAAGGCAATAGTCCACTGGATTCACTCCATTCTTTCTTGCGCATGGGCGTGAAGCAGACACGCCATTGGACCTGTTATTTCCCAAGCTAGCCCCAGAAGATGACGACTTCATCCAAACACTAAGGTCGAGAGCGAAAGAAGCACGACAACTGGCACGTCTCCACTCTATGCGGTCTCAGGAAAGTAATAAACTCCGTTATGACGTTCACCACAGAATCATAACTTACCAGCCTGGAGATCTCGTATGGATCTTTATCCCTGTGCGTAAAGTGGGATATTCAGGAAAACTAATGAGACTTATCTTCGGTCCATATAAAGTAACCCGAAAAATAAACGATGTGACCTACAAAGTTGAGACATTCGTAAACCAGCAAAGTTATCGTAAAACAAAATACTTGGTTCACGTTTGTAGAATGAAACCTTATTTAAACCAAAAGGACCAGGAGGAGCACCTAGAAGAGAACCCAGAAAACAACTTGTCGTGCTGACGTCATAAATAAATGCTTTCACATCCCCAGATATACAAAGACGTAATTTTCTATGCTACAACTGGCATAGAAGCTTGACCTATACCCATTAAGAAATAAAAGGAAAATTGATTCTGTTGAACCAGAAACTTCTATGATTGTAAAGAAGGAAGGTACCCAAGTAAGCAACTACGTTGTTCAACATCTGCCGAGGAACCCTTCCATTTTCTCTGGGGAGGATGGTGAAGATATCCAAAAATGGCTAAAAGGGTATACACGTGTGGCAATGTACAACTATTGGGACGAAACCCTTTGTCTTACTAAAGTTTATTTTTATCTGTCTGGAACTACTCTAAAATGGTTTGAGAGCAACGAAGAAAGCATCCAGACTTGGAAGGAATTCACATATCAATTAGATAGCCACTAGAAGGACGTCACGGTCCGAAAGCTTGCATATATTAAAATAATAAATTACTCTTCGTTCG